AAGATAAGATCAACCATCGACATCAGCGGATTGGATTCTAATCGATAGCCATAAATAGGGCACCAAGCCGTTAAAGAAGGTATGAGAAAAAACTCCTAAACAAAAGATATATAGTTATTATGTGATACGATTACAAGTACTAACTTGATCGTCGGAGGGTCTTTGGTTGGCACCCCACCGGTGCCATTCGAAGTGACGTCCCTTTGTTTTGCAGGTAAACGTCGTCGTTCCGAGTCGTGAGGATTTACGCATCAACAGCTGGCGCCGTCTATGGGAACGATTAGTTCTCTGAAGAAATAATAATCCCGACGCGACTTGGCTCGGACGGCACGATGAAAGCTTCTTATCATGGAAACCTTCCCAAAGTCATCAGTTAACAACGGGTTCCATGTTCTTATATAAGGACGAGACTCTACATCTTGATTACTCGTCTATCATACTGGGGGCAAAATAGTGGGTTACGTGATACCACCTTTCAAAATTTGGCACGTCGACCCAGGCAGTCCAATATGGTGTTTTCCATCTAGCGATGCTTGGTCCCTTCACTACTGAGGTTTGGTCTTCTAAGACCAGACTCCATCTCATATCGGGCAGCAGCCAATTACCAAGGCCAGATCGTTGAAAACTAAGGTCTAGTTTTTCTGTACCTACATAAATGGGTAGGTCTCCACCCATCAAGAAGATCACCACCAACAAGGGTGTCTCTACCTACTAGTAAAGCTTCTACTACTGAGGATGTCTCTGGCAACGGAGTTTCATTACTCCGTTCATTCATACAATCAGGGTGGCCTTCTACACCCAAGAATGTATTGAGACCTTTAGGTCCAAGGAGGTCTAATATCCCTCAAGATCCCATGTCCAATGAGGTCTGTATTCCCAAGCAGGTTCCTGAGTGAAGGGCGATCATTAGACCCAACGAGGTGCTGACCACTAGACCGTCATCTGGTATTGACCACCAGACCGTCATCTGTCAACCGTTGGGTACCACGCCTCTATCCACCAGGCATCAAGCCAGTCGCTGGACACTAAGCCTCCACTTATCAGACGACAGTCGTCACCTCTCTTCCCTTGCAGGTTAATTTTTAGTAATTACTTCTAACTCAATCTAATAGTTTTAGACAACTGTAAATTGTTGCAGCACCAGACACCCCATCTGTTGCATAAACGTTTATAGAATGGATCAACACCCAAGATCCCAACATGGGGGCAGAATAGTGGATCATACGATATCAATCGCTGATCTACATATGATGACAAGGTTTAGAAGATTGATCGTACCTTGGTACATCGAGCTAGTCGGGTTTCTAGTCTCTACACAACGGGAAGGGTACAATCCTTGGTTATTATAAATCAAGGCTTGGTTATCCAAAACCAAGGCCTAGTCAACCAAGACTAAGAATTGATTGCCCAAAGTCTACAAAGGCTCGGTCATCCAAGATCAGTGCCCGGTTACCCCAAGTTTGGTCATCAGAGACCAAGACTAGGGCCTAACTGACAAAAGTATGGTCATCAGAGATCAGGACTTAACCTACAAAGGTCAGGTCAAAAAACGATCCTCCCCCTCACGTGTTATACTTATGTGGTAATTAATTCCCTTACTAAAAGGACGAGCTGAGTAAAGCTCGTAAAGTTTATTCCCTTGCTAAAGGGATGGGTTGAATGATTCCCGTAATCAAATATCCCCGTACTATAAGGGATAGTAAATAAGTGTCCTATACTATAAGGGCCCGGGCTGAATGAATCCCGTAATCAATATCCCCGTACTATAAGGGATAGTAAATAAGTATCATGTACTACAAGGACCTGGGCTGAATGAATCCCGTAATTAAATATCCCCGTACCATAAGGGATAGTAAATAAATGTCCTGTACTACAAGGACCCGGGCTGAATAAATCCCGTAATTAACATCCATGTACTATAAAGGGATAGTCAATAAAAATTCCTTATTAAAGGGGGACGAGCTGGGTGAAGCTCGTAAAATTTAATTTCCTTATTAAAAGAGTAACGACCTGAGTGAAGCTCATATAATTTATTCCCTTACCAAGAGGAAGAGTACCTAGGGGCAGAATACCCGAGGGTACTAAAAATAGTATCCAGAGGCGGAATACCCAAGGGTTCTAGAATTAGTACCCAAGGGAAGAATACCCAAGGGTACTAAAAGTAGTATCCGGGGGCAGAATACTTAAGGGTACCAAAAATAGTATCCAAGGGAACAGTACCCAGGGTAAAAAAAAAAATTCCCGAGTTACTATTCACATGAATAATACCCGCAGGTACTGTTCATAGGGGTTGAAAATAAATAAATAAATAAATCCTGAGTTACTATTCGCATGAATAGTACCCCGCGGGTACTGTTCACAAGGGTTGAAAAAAAAAAAAAAAATTTACATCCCCAAAGCTAGACGTGCAAGCTTAGGAATGTGGGGCAACTGATAGGGAAAAATATAAACCTACCCCACCCTTGATAAGATTGATTATATTTCATTATCGTGGTTCAACAGGGTAAGAATAATCTTATCATAATTGAAAGAGGTCAAAAGGATTATTCATATCCCCGACAAATCTCGCACAAGCGAAAGATAAGATCAACCATCGACATCAACGGATTGGATTCTAATCGATAGCCATAAATAGGGCACCAAGCCGTTAAAGAAGGTATGAGAAAAAACTCATAAACAAAAGATATATAGTTATTATGTGATACGATTACAAGTACTAACTTGATCGTCGGAGAGTCCTTGGCTGACACCCCACCGGTGCCATTCGAAGTGACGTCCCTTTGTTTTGCAGGTAAACGCCGTCGTTCCGAGTCGTGAGGATTTACGCATCAACATGTACTAAGATCAACCAGACTCAAATTCGTGTAACTTGCTATATCTATGGGGATATTACCTTGGAAAGAATTGTTCACTATATAACTTTAAAAAAAAAATAAAATTTTATATTAAACAGTAAGCATATATATACATAGGAAATATATATATATATAAAGTATAAAAATACCTTAACTTCTTCAACTGGGATGGACTTTTTTGTTTTTTTTTTTTTAACACTTGGAGAGGGGAGTTGCTGTTGGAGGAGGAAGAAATGAAGTTTTGGAGTCAATTTATAGAGACAGGGCTACAACGGTCATATTGCAAGGGCAGTTATGGAATTATATCATAAAGTAACCTCACGCGCTTCATCTGTGCCGAAAATGAGCCGGAAAGGGTTACCATGGGGTGAAATTGATCATTTCTGATAATTGAGAGACTAACTTGCTCGATTTTATAATTTAAGAGGGTAAAATGCTGATTTCTGAAACTTGAAGGGGGGGTTTTTAATGCTTTTTTGCCCTTTTTTTTTATAACCATTTCTTTACCCCCAACCAGCCGCACAAACAACAATACTCAATAGGCGACAGGGTTCACTCAAAACAAAGCACTTCTCTCGAAGACATCAATCACGTGTAGCGTACTACTGTGTCAGTCTTTTAAAGACTTGCCAAGGATCTGGCTCCTCTTATCCAACGGCCAAGATTTAGCCACGTCAATTAAAAATTGAAATCTAAGGTCATTGTATCAATTAAAAGAAAGTAAAAAAAAAAAAAACACGAATCAACGGCAACACAAACGATGCCTTAGACCCAGTTCTCTGTCTCCTACCCGACACTCCCAATCCCAAACCTGGTTCTGCTCGCTCTCTCTCTCTCTCTCTCTCTCTCTCTCTCTCTCTATGCCAAGAAAATACCATCCTCAATTAATTATTCATAAGGGACGTGCCTTGTATGCGGTCATTCCCATTCCCTTCTAATCACTAACATCTAATCCCATTAATTATAGTCAGGAAATTAAAATATATATATATATATCCATTAAAAAATTAATTATCCATAGATTTAGCAAACAAACTGAACTCAGAACCTTTGTACTCTGTTTGGTAAACAAGAAAATAAAGAAAACCAAAAGAATCCCAAAAATACAATTTTTTTTTTTGCAAGATTTCGAAACCCAAATTTCTCCATTCTAGATTTCGAAACCCTAAAAAAGTTTATGGCAGTAAAATGAAAACGTTAGATAAGAAGACAGTTTAAAATTACAAGCGAGGCAATGTGATTAAGCGGAAGGAGTAGATGAGAAGGTTCAAGGGAGATCCGCTCGTGAAGCAATTCTATATCTTTTTCAATAATTTTGTTTGCTACACCAATGTAATACAGTGTAGAACAAATTTATTTTTCAAGAACAAGATATAACGTGAGTAAGGGCATTGTTGCTGGCTGATATTATGTGGTGAGGCTCACCGCACCCGTCACCAACAATCAATATAAAATTTTTTGAATTTTTTGAATTTATCATTTTCTTTTCTTTTTAAAAAATTGTCTTATAGAAGCATCTTTCCTGTAAGACTTTTTTGGACTTTATGATATAAATCTTTAGGTCATTTTTTGAAAATCAAACGAAAAAATTGCACCAGAATAAATTTATATGGATTTTTTTTTAGTCATTATCCTAATGCTCTGTCTAAGTATAAGAGATAAGGGAAGGGACGGTTGAGGCATCCCTATGGAAGGTAATGTGCCTCTCTCACTTTTTATTGAAGGAAATTGATAGTATAAATGATGGATGGAGTAACACATTTTTTTTTTTTAATTGAAAAAAAAAATAAATATGATTTTTATATTCTTTTTATTAATATGCCCTCATTAATTAAAAATTTCAAAATTATATATCTATCCCAAATTTTTAGAAGGGTTAGAAATGAAAATTCAATATTTATATTAGTTATTACTTCTTTTTCTCTCATCTTTCTCACAGTTTTGGGGACCGAAGGGAGGGATGCTTCCTCCTTCTTTTGTAACGATCCTAATCCGAGGGTCCGAATCGCTAACCGGATTCTTACCCGAACCCAGATAAAATCATCAAGATACGCATGATACCGGGAGTTGGAAAGATCGACAACCCTTCCGACCAAACTCAACAATGAGCTTGCAAAGCAGGTCATCTCTGGAGAGTTTGATGTGATGATTTGGGTTGTGGTGTCTAAAGATCAAAGTAGCATCGAGAGCGTTCAGGATAAAATCGGAAAAAAGCTTGGATTTCCAAAAACATGGAGCCGTGATAATACCCAAGACGAGAAGAAAGGAGAAATCTTCTGGGTATTGCGAATAAAGAAATTTGTGCTACTTTTAGATGAGATATGGAGTCCGATTGATCTTGTTGATGAAGTGGGGATTCCACCAGTTTTAACTGACAATCAACACAAGTCTTCCAAGGTAGTCTTCACCACCAGATTCATGAATGTGTGCGGTGTTATGGAAGCCAAGAAGACGATTGAAGTGGAATGTTTGCCATGGCAAGCAGCCTGGGATCTGTTTAAAGATAAGGTGGGAGAAAAGACCCTCAATTCTCACCCCACGATAGGGAAGCTCGCAGAAGATGTTTGCAAAGAATGTTTTTAAATGTTTCTAAAGTCATGCACTCACTTCTCAAACTTAAATTATATGAAAACATATAGGACAGTACTAGCCATGGTACATAATTTTATCATATTATATTTGTGTAACATATTTGATGATTATAAAAATTGGGTCATGAGTTCATAGGTTCATGCACCATTGCCAAAAGCGTTCTCATTCAATGGCCCCAATATATATATATATATATATATATATATGCACGAACAGCCCCATGTTAAACGAGCCAACACTATTCCTGAATCTGATTATAAAAAAAAAAAATTGTGCTAGGAAGAAAAATAGAACACTGAGTTCGACTAATATAGTTAATTTGTCTATTGTTTTAGTATTCCTTCGTTCAGGTCTCAAGAGGTGTGTTTGGATATATTTGAAAGAGTCTCGTGGAGTGTACTGACCCTAATTGAGGGGTGTCAAACCAAAACTTCTTGCAAATTCATTTATTTTATTCAAATTTTTATTATATATTGTTTTCAATTTTACCATTCAATTTACCAACCTAAACAACAAATGACTCCCCTACTGTGAGTGCATGAATTTATATATAAGTTGCCAACCCTTCAGAAAGTACTAAGAAAATATGTATAATTATAATATGCACATACATACACACAGATACCACGTCCTGCCCTAACTCTAATTTACCGAAACCGAACTTGCAGGACAACATAGTGGTCTTCAGAGCAAACCAATCAAGAGTATAAATAACACTAACCCTAAAGAAGGTTCTAAGACCTAGAAGGGTAACTTAGTAGTCTTCAGATCAAATCAATCAATAATGATCAACTCTAAAGAAAGTTCTAAGCACCCACATTATTTACACACATATGTAGGTTGTATATTCTTAAAGGATTAGTCTTGTTAATTGTTATACACTCAATAGTGCTTATTCTGATATATTCTTGGTTCATGGCAGTTGTAGAAGCTTGCCTCAACTTTACCGATACGAACTTCTCGTGTTCGGTTTTAATTGTCAGCATTTCAACAAGCTTGTACATCCAACGATCTAACATTCTTGTCAATATAACAGTCAACAGTAGGTATTAATTATTTGTCATCCATGACAAAGAAGCCTTTATTCAAGAAATCAGCAAGGAAAGTAATCAGCAGATTTCATCCAATAACACCAAACATCAACTTCTTGACACTTTTGTTTTGCATTTTCCATTTCATATAAAGCGAAAGCAACGTTTTTGTTGTTCTGTGATTTATTTCGAAACACAAACGCATTTGGTAATTAAATTTGTGGCGCAAAGTTACGAGGCAAAAGAAAAAAATAAAAATAAAAAGAGGTAAAAAAATAAAAATTCCCACTACTGTTGCTTAGCTACACTAGCAAAAACAATTAAAAACATGTTTTTTTTTTTCCTTTAAAATTTGGGTCTTTTTCTGAAGGAGATGCAGTGACAGGCATTATCAAACATGCTTCCACAACTTGTTTACATTTTTCACTAATTTGTCAACAAAAAACACAAAACAAAAATGCTGCCAAAGATACCCTTAGCAAGTGGAACATCACGCCTCCTCAATTCACTTTATGAGAACAGTTTTCCATTTCAGAGAACTAAAAAGAGTCTGAACATTGATTGGATTGACAGATCTCTAAATTTTCTGAAAATTCAGTTTGAAAGGGGAAAAAAACATATATTTTTTTATAGAAGTAAAAATGACATGTTTTCCAAGAAGAGATTCTCAATAACTTCCTGTTTTCTAACAACTTTGTTTTTTTAGCGTTTTCAAGTTTTGTATAGAGATTATAACTTATCACTTCGCAGTTTCTCTTCTTTGGTTTTTATCTTTTTCTTGTCAGCTTTTATGACTACTTGTTTAGCGTTTAGGTTCATATACATATATATATATATATATATATATATATAATGTTTTTGGATTGTATAGTACTCAATATATATACTAATAATAATATTATTATAACAAAAATTGTATTAAAAATTATATTTTATTTTTAATTTTTGATTACATACTACTAATTCGGCTCCCACTTCCGCAATGATGAAAGTCTTGTATGTTAACCTTCAGCTCGGCCCACTTAAAAAAAAAAAAAAGAAAAAAGGAAAATTCCGACTCCACCCCTGTTTAGAAGTTATAATCTTAAATTTTTAAATGCTTTCATAAATAAGTAGTTTTTTTTTTTTTTTTTTGGGAAATTGAAGCAAAGTAAACAAGTATTCAAATGCTTTGAAAAGTGATACTAATATTTCATAAAGAAGTTCAGAAATTATAATCTTAAATTTCTCTTATTGGCCAACAAGAGTATATATATTATTCTTCATGCTCTTATGAAAATATTTAAAATTCTGCCAAGTATACATTCAGGCTTCCGTGGCATGAAATTAGAGTATCCGAGTTGAAATTTGTGAAAATTGAGAAATACAACTAAAAAAATCAAACTAAAATTTCTCAAATTTTAATTTCAATGCAACAATTTCATGCAACCGAATACACCCTCAAAATATTCTATAAAACCATTATAATTTGAGGTAAAATCACAAAAACCCCCGCTACTATCAAATTGGTACAAAAAAATCGTACTAAAATTATATTGCCCCTTGAACTAAAAAATGTTATCATGTTACCCCATTTTTGTATGAAATGACAAAATTGTCCTTATGATTTAATGTTAAAGTAAAATCTAATAATTATTATTGTAAAATTTAAAAAATACCCCTTAGTCTTCTTCTTTATGTTCTTCACCCTCGCTTTCATCACCATAAGAGATGTTATCCCATCCGCCACAACCACTACCACTTCCGCCGCCTCCCCACTGCCCAAACCCGTCTTCAACGCCCTCCTCCACTACGTTGTGTGATACCTCCAGATTTTCGAATGCGAGTTGGACAAACCCACGCCCGAATACCCGAGGATATCAAAAACAAAATCGGCAATAAACGAACACAGAGTACAAAAGAATAAATAGGAATAAATAATTTGCTGAAAGAAAACTAAAAGAAAAATCCAATAATAAAACCTCTTAATAAATTTCCACTAATAATAAAATCATTTTGATACAATAAATCCTCCATTAATACAACTTGGGAATCCATACTGTGTGGACCCCTAAAAACCAATCTGAACAAGTGACAGCAATAACTGTCTACAATTGAAGAATGAAGCATAAAAGAATCTCCTATATAGAATCGGAAGAATGAAGTAGACTGATCCTCGCTTAGCACAAACAACCTCTACTCCTAACGAATATCTGAAAAATAATGGTGGGTCAGACCCATAAATAATACTTTACTACAGTCCAAGCAGAGATCCGATACACGTATACATCATAGTCAATCCAATAGTAACTAGTAGTTCGTATATATATATATATATATATATATACACACACACACACACACACACTAAAGGAACCTCACTAGACTATAGGGTTGTCTCAACCTGAATAGTAGGCAACATGCAAAACGCACATATAGTGGGCATGAGCACCTAAACCTACCAGGGTATACAACTACATTATATCTAACTACACATCCCTGGCGATATACGTGCCCTAACTACTGATCCTGAGACTCAAGCTCATATCATAGCACCATACTTATATATATATAATCTAGTAACCATCCTATCCAGTATAAATTAACCCTCCATAAGTCATTCAACTTGTTCAATTGACCTGACTTAAATATAAGTAGGACTTAACATTTTAGTTAATCCATTCCCTTATATAATAAATTAATCATCCATAAGTCATTCAACTTGTTCAGCTGACCTGACTTGAATATATAACGACCTTTGATTTTTTAACCCAGCGTGTCCTTTGATGAACCGAGGATTGACCCGATAATGGATCCAGATACGGAAGCAAGAAGCAAGACAATGGTCTTCCAAGGCATAACACACCTTTAAGACCCTAAGATGACCTTCCATGAGGTCGTGGAACTCAATGAGGACTGACGCGGAAGCAAAAGATCGGAAAGATAATAATTAAGCCCCAAGGGCAAAATAGTTATTTCTAAAAAAAATGGGCTCGGGTGCTACTGAGCACACCACTGGAAAGACAATGAAAAATTAGTCAAGATGGACTCAAGAATCGCATGATTCAGAGTCTGGTCGAAGGAGAAACGGCAATATGAAGAAAAACGAGCACTTAAGGTTAAAAGGGTAAAATGGTAATTCTAACTGAAATGGGTACCCCTGTGTACACCATTGGATAGAAAACAAAAAATTAACCAAGATGGACTCAAGAATCACTTGATTCGAGTCCGGATGGCAAATATATCAAGTCCTAAAGTCAAAAGAAGGGAAACCCTATCCCGGTTCGAACTAAAAACTAACACTACTTCACTAAAACTTGAATATCTCAATCTACAAGTGGAATCTGAAGCTGAAATTGGTACCATTGGAAAGCTTATTTCGACTCGGTCAATTTAGACTCAAGAACGGACCAATTCGGAGTTGAAACGAAAATGATACGACGACATGAAGTTGGAGGTGCAGTGCTGAACCAAGATATACACATACTCACACATGAACAGTGCTACGAGCGCTCGTGCAGCACACGCCCCAGGGCAAAAACCCACTGCCCCATTTACGAGCGCTCGTACGCCCTTGGAGCGCTCGTTCTGCTGTAGGCTACACCTGAAATGCAAACTTGAAATGCAATTTTGAGGACTTTCTAGGCCTTTTTGAAAAAAACACAAAGAAGAAACCCCCCTCAAAATCATGTTTTCTAGCCAATCATGCCAAAATAAAACTTTATTTTTCATGTTAAAACCCCAAAATGCCCTTAAGCCTAATTTTTCAACAAAAATGTGAAATGAGTCCATAAGAAGCTTAAAACACAAACGAAAGAGTTTTTCATGAAAACGATCATCCACGCAGATGTAAATGGTGATTTTGAGCACGTGGAAATGGTCCACGGCTCCCGAAAATGGCCGAGTCAAAATTCGACCCCCCGACGGCCTAAAAGGCGAAATAAACTTGAAATGGAAAACTTGAAAACCAAAATTAACAAA